GAATGGTGGCAAGGACAAGCCTATGTGATCGACTTCACAAATCATGATGCGGTGCATTGGTTTTGTAAACAACTGGAAAAAATTAAAAAGGTAGTGGTTTAAGTTAATAATCGTTCAAAACTGACTCTACTCTATTAGCGTTGCACTATTTCCAGTGATGGAAAAGTTTTAAGTTTTGAGAAAATAATAAAAGGAAAATTCGTCGAGGGTAATGGTCAAAAATAGTTCTAAATATTAAATGAGAACAGCTAGTAGAAAAGGATAATGACATAGGAACCATATCATTTCGGTTAACGACGAATAATGAAAGCTGGAAATTGTAAACTTATCAGATCCTTTTGCTTTTTTTCAGCTTGGTATATTTTCATTCAAATTTGATGGAGGTGAAGTGACCTATCTTCCAAATGATGTTCGTCTGCATTGTGGTACATCGCCAAATGATTTTTGCGAAGCTTATGTACGAGCAGCTGCTTCGTTTGGTTTCTCAATTGAGGTACATATTAAAACACACGTAAACGAACATGATAATTTGCCCACCCTCTAAAAAGTCACCTCTTTTCAAAACATATTGATATTTGTACAAACACTCAAATCATTAAGATTAAAACAAAATTTAGCGTAATAAATATTTCAAATGGTTCAAAATCTAGCTCATATTTAAACAAATGTTGATTTGGTATGCAAGTATGCATTATATATCAATATAAGAATTAGTTTGAATGAATCTAAGCAGTTCTAACGATTAGTTGAATTAAGTATTCCTTTTTCAAGTGAACTAATTAAAGTTAAAGCTTTAACTTTCGTAAAACAAAATGAGTCCTATTATCTTTAAGTAGCAACATCAAGCATGAAATTTTTGTTTGCTTTAATCATTGTATCATTATAGGTAAGAGTTTTTCGTCGCACACAATCCCTGCCGATATTTTACAGAACAATGGATCGTCTATCAACTTGGTCTGTATAGTTTTTTTTTTTTTCAAATATTAAAAGTGATAAGCCGAGAAATTAGTGTTTGTAGTTGGATATTATAAAAACAAGCAGCTATGAAACCAAGAAAAATAAAATTTGTGTGATTGTCAATATGCGTATTATTAAATATAATTTTAGGAATAACATTGGTTTGAACACTTTAATACCAATTGTACTTAATTTCGGATTACACGGTTATTATTATAATTTACCAGATATGATAGGTGGTAATGAATATAATGGCCAAAAATGTAGCAGAGAACTTTATATCCGTTGGATGCAGGCATTCTTTTTATTTCCTTCTATTCATATTATTCATACTTTTATGGAGAAAATGAATTGCAGGAAGTATTTCTTTCTTTTTCTCTGCATATCATTATTTTCATACTAATTTTCTCTTATTGTTTCATATATAAAAATGGTGTTTCATCAATGATATGACTGAAAAACCGATATTGCAAAAGTGGCATAACTGCCGAAATTTCAAGCAAACTATGACAATATTGACTGCATCAGTCAATTAGCCAAGTATAGGCAGTCTGAGTCGTCATAACCAAACTTTCAATCACTGTTTAGTTGAAAATGTTTTCATAATTGGAGCCATCATTAGAGCTCATATTTTGTTCAGGAAATCTATGCATGAGTGAGACAATTTGAATTGAATAATTTAAAATTTTATTTGGTAGTTCTGGTAATTGCAGCAGATATAAAGAAGTCGAAAATGCTTAAACTAATTTGTTTTTAGGCCAATGAATTCTTGCTATCTATGCAATTTTCATGTCCTCCTTGGCAGTATGACGATGAGATGTGTGATATTTTCCATCGCATTATACAAAAACGTAATGAACTGTT